TAATCAAGTATCTTAAATGAATGAATTCAATTCGTACCTACAATAAACACCCTCTTTCTTAACAATCCAAATCATCTTTCGCACTGATTCTGGTGGTCGACAATACGGATGAACGTAAACGCGTTGAACCACGCAGAAATCATGATCGCCCTCGCTGCCTTTCGACTTTTCTTTGTAGTAGAACTTACGCACATTCATACGGCGACCTTCTTTTGAATTCCAAGCACCTTCAATCCAGTTTTTTTCTCAAAAACAACACCAAAACAACACCTTTTATTCAAGAAAAAATATTCAACTCAGTACCTACTAAATTCAGTGCATGCATATCATTATAAATTGTACATCACCATCATCACGTTATTTACATATACATATTTCCATTTTATGCAAATGGAATTCGAGATAATTTGAAAGCTGGTTACGCTCTAATCTATTCATGGATTCCAACCAAATTTGCTTCTTTTTTGTTTGAGGAGCGATTTCACTAGATCAGATGCTATCGACATCTTTGATAAACAAAAAGAGAAACATGAATCGCCCTTAATACCGTTCACATTTCTTTATGATAATCAAACATGATAAAAGTACTATACCCAAATTATCGGTGCTCAAATCACATACTGGTACTTTAGTGGTATCGACGACGAATGTTATCGCCGCACCGCACCCTAACGGATTCAGTTTTGGTACGAATGTACACACCGGTACGGTTTCATCCAATCTATAATATAACCTCATTTCATTATCAGTTCCATCATTCACATTGCAGTTATTAACATCTCATTCAATCCTGTCAATCATATCGCTTTACCATTCATGGCAATGATCTTACAAGCAAAAACAAACTTCAACATGACAACAGTGACAATGAACCCAATAAACGAAATAAAAACGAACTGCTCCTGCAGCAGAAGATCCAACGGAACTGAGTTAATCGAATGAATGTAGACTTGTTTGTAGACTGGTGCAAACGTCACTTTACACAGCGTACTGTAATACAGTATCACATCAAATACATCGAATGAATTGACGCATAAACGACAATACTAAACTAAAGCGATAGCCATAGCACTCTCGATCATAACAAATCTCATTACATTTTTTTCAAAATGAAAGTAATAGTAAGTGCCGAATAACAATAAAAACAACTCAAAAATTTATAACAACAAAACAATGATATTCCGAATAACTCACTCATCATCCAGTGGCGGCAAGTCAAGTATGACCTGTGGACGTCTTCTGAACATGTGATCACGAATAGTCAAATCGCCCGCTGATATCATTTCCGAATGTTCATAATCCGAGTAGAAATCCTCGTATTCCTTTAATTTGCTCATTATACGTTGACATATCAAGATAATGTTAGTAATCAACCTTGAACCTCAATTATTTTAAAAACAAAAAACTTTAAAACACAACATATTAGCAGGCTCATCATCATCGCTATCGGAAATCTGAAGTGTTTCATTGAAAAATGTTTAAAAACGAATAATTCAAACAAGTATCAAACGATATACTCATTTTCTACTAGATATAATGTGTATTTAAAAAAAAAACGGAATAATATCGCACGGCATGATATGTAAGAATGAATCGGTACAATAGGATGTTATAAGCATGATGATATAAACTAACTGCAGCATAATCCTGATGTAAACGATTATGAATCGACGTGAACGGCTGTGCAAAATTCGGATTGCCACTACGATACATGGGCATCATTGATTGGTCATTTGCTGGCGATAATGCCAATGTGGAATCGACCAATTCACTCTTCACCGATAACGGTACACGTGGTACGCCGTCCACATAGGCATCTGCTGCGATGCAGTAGGTGATCAGTGCATATCTGTAATATTATCACTCGCATTATCACTATTGACTAATAATTGTTACCTGGACAACGAGTGGTTGTTTTGTTAATCGCAGTG